GATATTTTGGGCAATTACTTGATAAATAACTGGACTCCAGCAATAAATTTTTTATCAAGTGTTTTAGTTTTCTTAAGATTTGTGAGTTACAGCAGCTCAAGGCTGTCCTTGTAAGAATTGTGATTGATCATATGCTGTATTAAGTCTCTGCTACTGGTAAGCAGAACATAACTACGTGAGGAAAAATAGCTAATTCAGTGAAGTGTATGGTGTAACCATGCTCAAAGGCACCCATAATAATGTATCTCAGATAAAAAGAAAATCTGACTTTTGTCTTCTGGCATGTCATAGGTACTGCAGGCTGTAGCTGCAGTCTGCACTCTCATTCAGAAATGTAGTTAATTTTCTCTTCTGGCCGATATTTAAGACGGGCAGACTGATTTTTGTCTTTATTAAGCAGAGGTAACGTGAGATGAGTCAGAACTCCTCTGTGGGCCATCCTAACTGCTGCTACCTAGTAACAGGAAAAACTGGGATATGATGTAAAAGTGCTCAGGAGAAGAACATACAATTAAGAGGAGTTTTCACTGGTTCTGACACCTGGTAATATCTAATGTGGTTTTAAGCAACAGTCAGTGCTGTTCGTGTAGCCTGTATTTTGCTTTGTGAATTTCTTATTTTTTTTTTTTTTAAGGAACATTAGCATATGCAGATGTTTGCATATGCTTAATTTTAAACATACGTAGTCCCTGGATAATGAATGTGTGCATTCAAACAGTTTAACATAAGGTTTGGTATTATTTAATTTGTATTTCATTTTATAATCTATCATGAGCATCATTTCTCAAATTAATTCCCCTAATTGATTTTCCCCTTGTGGTAAATATTTGTGCAGCCTTTTATTTTAATGAAAAATATGAAGCCAGCTGAGTTCTACTGCCAAAGGGAAGGCATGAAACTAGGGAAAACCAAGGCAGAATTGAGCAGATCTGTTGCTAAAACTGAAAGTCTTTGCTTTCCTTTTCCTTGCTTTTTGTTTGGTTGTTTTTTGTTTTGTTTTGTTTTTTTTTTTCCTTTGTCCGTATTCCTTTGGGATCATCTGAAGTTCAAGTATACTCCTTACTGCCTGGCTATGAGCATTACTATTCTGTTTAGTGATGGATTCTTCTTTCCAGGCACTTGCAGTATAGGAACTCCTAGCAGTTCAGAGTTACCTTTGCATGGTAAACCTTTGAGTGGTTTACAGGGATGTTTCTGGGTTTTGCTTAAAAAATAATTTAAAAAAAAAAAAGTAAAAAGAAGGGAGGGGGAGCTGAGTTATACTATTCCATTACCATGGTTTTAAAGAGGATCATACTTGTAGGAATGCAGTGCCTTGTTGCATTGCAACATTGAATCATCTGAATATATCATCCAGAGTCTCTACGAAGAGTGTTCAGCTAAAATTGGAATTCTTTTCTGCTGTGTTATCACAACAAAACAACAGGCTTGACTGACCTCGGCAGCTTCAGCTCTGGTAGATTTCACCTCTGTTAAGATGAAATTTCTGCCTTTTAACACAGAGCATGCTCAGTTTCTGCTGTGAGAGGTAACTGCTTCTTCCCCGTGCTCTGCCTCAGCCTCGCAAAGAGAAGACAATACAGAGAAAAACTTATGCTCCCTGTGTATGGGTCTGTTTATATATATAGTACATATAAATAAATGAAGACACAGAAAAAAAAAACCTCATTCCAGTGTGCTGCTTCAAGGTATTGCTTTCTTGTTGCAAGGAGCTATCCTTTTTTTGTTGTGGTTTGATTATAACTTCTATTTCTGGAGAATTACAAGGAAAGGATTAGAGACAGGGCAAGTTATCTTGCCATACAAACTATAAAACAGCACAGAAGCTATTTAAATTGTCTTGTAAAGGATAAACCTGTTATTGGGAACAGGCTGCCAATGAAGTGATAAATGCTCCATCCCTGTCAGTGTTCAAGGCCAGGCTGGACAGAGCCTTGGGTGACATGGTCTAGTGTGAGGCGTGCCTACCTATGGAAGGGAGGTTGGAACTAAATGATCTTAAGGTCCTTTCCAACCCTAACCTTTCTGTCATTCTATTCAATGATTTACTTCATAGCAGATAATATTTACTGATATTTAAAAAGGACTCTTATTTTTTTATAGGAATAACCATACCTTGAAATTAAGTTATAAAATGTTTTATTCTTGTCCACGTTTCTGGTACATAGTGTTGATCTGTGCGTTAGGATTTTTCTAGTGATGCTGGTGGACAAATTGTGCATAGATTTTAGTCCACTCAATTTGTAAAGGCACAATTTTAGACATTGTGCAATCTTACTAAAACCAGTAGGACTACTTACGATAGTGTAATGTGAAGTGTGGACATGGTCTTTGCAGAATCAGTGTATTTGATGATGTTTTCAACTCCAGAATGCTTTTGAAATATATTTCCATTACAGTTGACTGTGTGACTATTGTCACACAGTCAGGGAGCCTTGATGTTAAAGCATGGGTTTACATCTGAATCTCAGCTTTTCTTTGGGGGGAAGAAAAAGTTACTTAAAAACCATGTTGTCACAGGAGTCACAAAATGCTTAAAATATATTTGAAATGCGCATGTGTGTGGAGTATAGGGATGACTGACAGACGCAGAAGAAGCATAAGATACATTGAAGAAGGGAAAAGAAAGGCCTGAAAGATGGAGTGGTGAGGAGTTTAAGATAGGATAAGACTTTTTTTTTAAAAAGTATTCGTACTCGTCAGCTATGCTTCAGTACTTAGATATTTTCCATCTGTTGCTCTTTCATTAACCTTCCATTTCCTCTATCCTTAGTGCTGCAATTTTAGATCATCACACGTACACTTAAAGGTATGCATGCTTATACACTACATTGCTACTTTCTCATTTCACCTGTTTTACAGTAAATGGAAGTGACATGCATTAAAATGCCATATAGAAAGTGAATTTTCAGTAGTTTTCTTTAAAACTATAAATAACACTGTAGAAAGTTCACTTTATTTTTATTACTCTCAGTGGGAAATGTAGGCGACTTGAAAAAACGCCTTTGTAGAAAGACATATTGCAGAAACACACACCATGTTTGAGAATAAGAAGTTAATTCTTCTGATGTAATCCAATCATATTAATACACGTTTTGATATCAGCAGTCATGTTGCAAGGATCCAGCTGTCCAAAACACAACATTATAATGTTAGGTTAATTAACCTCATAAAAAATTACTGGAATTCTGCCTAATAATGCATCTTTACAGACATTTTACAGAAAGTAGTTCAGACATCTGTAAAGAATGATCTGTTCTCTGCTAGTAATGGCTCAATTTCTGTGACAGTTTTTCTCATCTGTTAATATTGCCTGAGCCATTTCTTGCTGGTTTCACGGTTATCTTTAGAGAGATCTTAACATTTAGTCTGTGTTTTGAAATTAACATGCTGTTCGTGCAGATACACTAAAATGTACTCAGCAGACGATCCAGAATGCTACTTACTTGGTTTAAGTATTTAAAGAACTAGTTTTCTGAAAAAGGAGTTTGATGAAGCAATATGAGAGCTTTTGTTGTCTAGATGGTACATAATTTGTAAATTGCTAAATAGTTTTGATACTTACAGATTAGCATGTCTTATTTCCCTTTATCCTTTCCTGTTCTTATCCCTTCTCTTTTCAGCCTTGTGATTTAAATACTGAAGATCATAATATTTTATGTTAACAAGTATAGACAGAATTTATGGATATTACAAGTGGGTAACTGATGTCTGCTATATGACATTTGTAGTAGAGAAAAGTAGTTTAAATGGACAGATCTCAGAAAAATTTCTTCACTATCTGTAATGTTTTGGTATACAGTACTTCCAGAAGTACCCTTTGGACAGAAGTGAACAGTTTTTCAGCACTAAATATTTTAAAGTCACAAATTACATAGGCAACTCAATAAACGCATCAGCAGTCTTTGTTTTCTAGCCTTTTTTTAAAAATTTGCCCTTGATATATCAGAGTCTCTTTGAAAAGATGGAAATGTGATCTTTAATCTTTTAGAGTAACTGTAGAACTAAGAAAAATTTTGTTCCTGTTTATTGTCTTAGAACTACTTGGACTGAAAAAGAAAAGTTAACAATTACTGTTGTGTATCTTCAACAGAACTATAAGATGAAACTGAAGTGTTTGATATCCTGGAACTTTTCGAACTTTGGAATTAAAATCCAGTATTAGCATGTGTTAGTAATGCAGAGGAAACTACCTTGTTATTGTAACAAATTATTTTTAAACTCCAGGAACTTTTTTCATGTTAGGTAAACAGTGAATAGGTATTTCCATTTGTGAAAGCCCTCCTAGTGTGATAGCCAAACTTTTAAACAGAAGCTGCTTCTCATTTAGTAGCAAGTTGGTTCTCATGTACTGCAACCTTCCTTCAACAGTTAGACCTTTTACCTTCCAGTTTTTTACCATGCAAACTGCAAGCAGTAACTATCTGTAAAAGAGCCTTGAATTCAAGTTCTGGCAGAAGCTGCAGGTTTTTAACATAGATGGACACTTTTCCTGAGATAAAGTGGTCTGGTGCTGGTTGGTGGGGTGCGGGGTTTTGTTTTTCTTAGGTTCAAACACCTATACAGAGAAACATTACAATACTTGTTAGCATGTGTTCTTTGTGGAGTAAATTAATTTAGAATCATCTTTTAAGGCACTTTCCTATGGAAGGAAAGATTAGATGTTATAACTTCAGGTAAACCTATTGAATCTTCATAGGTGAGTGACAGTAATATATATTAGAGAAGCACTAGACATACCTATCCTTCAAAAATATGCATGTATGTATATGTGTCTATATATCCTGAAAATTAAATTTAAGGAATTTCTGGCATTTGAAGAACAGAGACATATATAATGGAAAATGAGAGGTAAGAAAATGGTTTTCCAAGAAAATTACACCGTTACATTGTTTTACAACAGTGATGTCCTTCACAGATAGCTTGTTGATTTCTTTTACATCATTGATTTCTTTAAAAGCAAAACCAAAACAAACTGTTTTTTCATTTGTTTTCCCCAGGTAGAGGTAGCAGATACTGAAAATGAAGAAAAAAGATATGATCTCTTCCTAGGGCTTCTGGAATCTAGTCACAGCCCATCTGAGTTTCAGCACTTGGTTTTGCTGCTTCAAGCTTGGCCACCGATGGACATGAGCAATAGGTGAGCATTTCTTCAAACAAGCATGAGTTCAGAGTCTTCTTGCTTGATAGTATCACATAGTTTTCAGTCAAGGAATTCGATTATGTCTAAAAGGAGTATGACCTTTAGAAAGGGTCATACTGGGAAGAATAAATAGTTTATTTGAAGCAGAATCGAATCAATCATTTCCTAGTAAGAACTATATAGATATGCAGTATGTATCATGGAGGAGGCAGAAAACCATTTTATTCCTGGAGCTGTTGCACAGGAGGTCTTTGTAGCTACTTAAATCTAAGTTACGTATTTTGCTCTTATTTTTGGCAGCATGTACAAAATCCATAAAAAGAAATACAAAGTTCTGACTGTTTTTTTCCATTCAGAGTTATACTTTAGAGAAAAACCTTTGAAAGTTAATGTTTACTTGGCTGTGGCAGATAGTCTGCAGGAGGGCTATAAGGGTAATGGTACCAAGCAATGGTGCTTCTCTTTTCTAGATCCACTACCTATTTTTTCTGCCTCTGAATAAAGTATCCCAAAGTAAAGAGTATATACTAAGGCAGATATATCCTAGCCCAAAAACTTAAAATGAAAATTATTATTAAAAAAATCAGCACTGCACCCATGAGAATGGGTATTTATTGAAACTGGTAATTTGGAACATCTTGACGACATTATTTTTTTACCGATTATTTGGTTTTTGTCTGTGACTTGCTGAACACATTTAAAGGCCTATCCTGTAACTGAAGATCACTTCTAAGGTATAAGGTTTCATATTATCTTATGAGGCAAAAGTCAAGTTTCTTTCAAGGAGAACAATAATATTAATAAATTTTTGACTAGTGAGTGTGCCATGTTTTATCTGACAGCTAGTTAGCTAGTCACTAGTCTCTAACTGGACTTTGTGCCACTGATCACAACCATTTGGACTTGGCAGTTCAACCGATTTTCAGTCTGCTTCACTGATCACTTATATAGCCCGTGCCTCATCAGTTTATCAGTGAGGATTTTCTGAGAGAAAGTGTCAGAAACATTGCTGAATGAATTCAAGGTATGTAATATCAGCCATCATCTGCCAAGCCAGTCATTTCATGACAGAAGGGTGTCAGGTTGGTGAGGCACAATTTCCCCTTTTTAAGTTCATGCTGACTATTCAGAGTCTTCTCCCTGTCCTTCATTTGCTTGGAAGTGCTTCCAGGAGCATTTGTTTCATCTTCCTAGGCACTGAGGTGAGGTTGACCAGCCATGTCTTGAGAAGAACAAACTGCAGGTTTCATCCTGTGATTGAATTTATTATTCATCTAGTAATTTCTGTTATTACTAAAAATTCAGCGTTTCTCTTCACTGCTTTTGGTTTGCCAGGAGGCTTTGCAAAGCTGTTAGGAGAAAATTGTCTCCTATGCTTTCACCAGCAAGAGCCACCTATACGGCTGCATGAAGAACCTCTGACTCTTATGATTCTCAAATGGGATCTCCAGTGCAGACTCCCAAGTAGTTTTCCGGAGTTCAGTGCTAAATTCATAGTCATTATCTCCGGGGAAATAAAGTAGTTCAGATATTCCAGATTTTCTTGACTTTGCATGAAACTCTCGTTGACCAAAAAATGAAAACAGATTTGATTAGTGGAGCAAGTGTTCATAGTATAGGAAATACTCCTTTTGTTTTAATAATTCCTCCCCCCCCTTTTTTCTTTCAAAGGGTGGTGGGCACAGGGTGTGGTTGCCTGTGTTGTTTCATTCTTCAGTTCTCCCTGCTAGGTTGAAGGGTGGAGGAAAACATCTAGTCCATTCTCTTACCTCTCTTAGCAGTGTTTTAGAGAAGAAAATTGAAGCTGCTGCTTGAAAAAAATGACAGAGGCATAGTTCTCCTTCTGCCACCTTCCCTCCCGTTTTCTCTTTTCTCTTCTCAGTGGGTATGTTGCCTTTCTACTTTCCTTTAGTATTTATTTATTTAATGAGTAAGCCAACAATGGTTCGATTTTCCCCTTCCCTGCTAAGAGTTGTCCCAATAGAAAAATATATCAAAGGGGGCATTTTTCACTCCCTGGGGTCTTCCTGTGTATATATTCCCATTGCTTTCTGTTACCAACCATACCAAGAAGACTGATTAAGTACTTTACAGGAATACTTACTGTGGCTTGAGCCTTGTTTCTAGCTCATTTCTAGTGCTTTCAAAAAATGTGGTATTTTAATAGTAGACAATAGTGTCCTTTTTGTAAAGTATCTTTTCCTCCACTCTAGTTGTATTTTCTCAGTAAACTATGTTTTGGAATTCTGGGGGTTACATTTTGGGTGCTTTGTTTTTTGCTCTGTTTTTTAACAAGTCTTAAGAGAGAAACATTAAGTACTTGCTGTAAAGACTTAACTTACATTTAAATCTAAGCCATGCCATTGCACAGTTTATATAAAACTAAAAAATGTATATTTCTTTTTTCTTGTCTACAAAAATAACACATTTGGTGTACAGTATGTTCTCAAATGGAATTTTGGCTTTTATGATCAGTGTGCTGTCATTAAAATGATTTTGAGTGATCTCAAAACAACTGTCTTAACAGCTAATAGCACTCCTGAAATGAAGTTCTGTCCTCATTCCACCGTCAATCCCACCTCAAGTATGATTGGTTTTAAAAAGCTCTCTTTAGTATTCCCTGATATGAGACAGGATTAATGTCATAAACTCTTGTGAAGTAGATAGTTATATTTTTTTCAGCTGCCTCTTGTTCTAGTGTGCTGGGAATAGTTTACATTTCTTTTTAATGATTTTTGAATTTTATTAATTTGAATTATTTCGTTAGTAGGAGGTCCAGCAACAATCAAAAAAATCTTTGGTACTTTCCACCTTCTTTATCTAAACCTTCTTACCTCTCGTTGTCATTGACAGTTGCTATCATATGCCCATCTCTGCATCTTTGGGAAGGCTACTGCAGGTGTGCTCTGCTCTGGGGTTTTTCCTCTTGCATTCCTCATTCCTCCCTCTTCTGCCTCTGTTGCATACTTCCATGTTAATAGCATTCAATTATGCTTACCAGCCTATATATATACGTAAATACACACACACACATTTATATGTATGTTCCTGAAATTGTGTTTCTGAAAAACCTGTCTTGATGGCTGGGTTTTGGAGTAAGGAGCAGGATCTCTTTGCTACTGAGGTTTTCAACAATTTCATTTCAAAGCAACTTGTATTAAGAAATTATTGAGCAGAGGAAAACCGTGAGCAGTTAAGCCAATTATTTATCCATATGTATTAACATTTTTGCTTAATCTTGACTTATTTTCTCCTCCTTTTCTTCAGGAAAGGGTCATTGTTGCAAACTGATTGTTTACTGTCAATGTAATGATGATACATGCAGAAACTCTGAGTCGTCTGAATACTTAGAATTTTGGGTTTTAACTTCATAGTAATTATCTAATACTTGTAAGTGAATATAAAGCCAAAAAATACAATTTGTGTTCTATAAGGCCTCAAAAGGAAGGAGAAGTGGAAACGAACTGAAGTTTGGGGTTTTTTTTGGCAGAGGGTTTTTTTTTAAGATTTTTGGTAATCTCTCTGTTATTAAGTCTATGTTTTTTAATGGGTTTTTTGAGTTCTTGTGTTTTAAAACCCCAGCTACAATAATGCTTATTATTTCAAATATGATTCTCTTCATGCCATAACATGCTATGTTGACTGTGAGGAAACAGCGAGGTACCTTGGTAGTTTCAGTCAGCACTCAAAACCATATACTTTAAAAAATTTTCTTTTCACCCTCTTGCTATGCATGCCTGCTTATCCACCTGGGTGTCTCATATTCAGATGACATCTTAAGCATTTCATAAAGATGTTTACTGAAAAAATTTATTGACAGTACCTGAAGCTCTGCAGTCCTTTGACACTTTCTGAATATGTTCAAAAGGCTTTTTTTTATTTATTTTAAAAATTGTTAAGGTGTTTTGGAACTCAAAAAGACCAGCTTTTAGGGATTTAATAGTTTAACTTTTCTTTTTTTTAACTTAAGCCAAAAATTCACTCTCTTCTGTTTCTGGGGAAAAAAAAAAAAAAAAAACACGTTCATGCTGAGTTTTTGAAATAATTGGGTTTTTTTTCATGTTAAATAACTTCTTCATATTCTTTTAGCTGTAGCTGAACTAAGGTAAAATTCAAAAGAGAGGAAAACTGATTTCTGCCTGTAGGTGTCATATTTTTGGTAGCTGAATCTTGTTTTTATTTAGAGATACCTGGAAACAGACTTTTTTAATACATCACACAAGTATTTGATATAGGGAATTGTGTTGAGAAAAACAAAAGCTTTATATATTTAAATTATACATCTTATACTTTACTCAAATAAACAAACCTGCACATGGCAAGGCTTGGTGCCCTTGCATCTTCCTGGTTATTTCTAACTTATGTGCTTTGTAGTGTGATTTTTGTTTTGTTTCTCTAATGGGAAATTCTTATAGGTTTTCTTAATGTACTCTGGAGGCAGCAGCTATAAAAATGGAAATTCATTATGACTTTCTGTGCCTCTAAGCAAGAGAAGGATCACATAGCAGGAACTATCAATTTCACCAGTGGCAGAGATGGAGTTTCAGGGGTTTTTTTCCTTCTAACTTTACTGGGGGTTCACAGATTAAGTGCATCATGTTCTGCTTGTTGAATAAGCTGACATCTTTGGGTTCAACCCATCAAGTTAGAAGGAGAGGAGAGGGGGAGCTCTGCTGTTCCCAGCCAGACTTCTGGCAACTCTGCGCTCAGTGGCTGTGACTGATGGAAAGGCTCAATTAAGTTGTCATAAGGAATAGAGACAGTGACTTCTATTTCATTTGCATTCAGAGTTGCCCACTCTTAGCATCTCTGTCTGGTTTTCATGTTAGGATGTAATGTCTGCTTCACATGGAGCTGGTTTTATTTGTTTACAGCATGTACTTTTGAAAGTGGAAGATGAGCAGGAAAGAGCTTTTATATATTTAATAGCAGATATTGGTGGTTGTCCATTCCAGAGCTGTCAGACGTATTCCTTGGTATATGTCAATCTAACAGACTCTCTTAGTGGACTCCCATTTACAGTGATATTAATGTACTCCTTTCAACATTTGCTGCTAAATAATGTCTTTGAAAAAAAGCACTTTGACAGCACTTTACTCGCCGTTCACACATTTTCTGGATGAGCACCTTAATTTACACTAAATTGTAAGACCAACCTGCCAAATTTGGACTTGCTGTGCTTTTTTTTTTTTTCCTTTTCTCTTTTTCCTTTTTGCTAAAGTAAAAAGTTTCCTGTGTCTTTGGGATGCTGATTAATGGCCAAAGAGATTGATGGGATGATCATTAAACCACTTTTTGTGTCTTTCTGCTTATGCACAGATGAACATAGTGGTTGTGTTACAGTGGTTTAACATAATCATGATCTAAGCTTGACTGTGCATGATTTTAACCCATTGTAGGTGGGAATCGAAATGCATTAACTTAATTTACATTAGGAAAATGGCAGCGTGGCTGTGTTTGAGTGTTACACTTCATGACACCATTTAAAAGCTCTTGTTTGCTACCCATTGATGTCAGTACGTTCAGTCCTATCAAGGCCAGTTTGAATGGAGCTTTAGGCAACTTGGTCTAGTGGAAGGTGTCCCTGCCTATGGCAGGCAGGTTGGAAGTAAAAGACCTTTAAACTTACCTTCCAACCCAACCCATTGTGTGGTTCTATGAGGTACACCTAGCCCTAAGAAAAGTAGCCGAGCATCTCCATGATCTATCAAATAGCAGCTGTATGCCAAGAAATGTTCCAGCAACTTTATAGCAAATGTTGCCTTTTCCATCAATGTGTGATAAAATTTACTTCTATCTACTATTTCCCATCTGTCTGACTGTGTAATTGTGACATGACATGAAGTTCTGTATGGAATGAAAAGAACATTTTAAATATGCAAAACAAATGTATCTGCATCCATATCTACTAATAGAGAAGTCATCTACCTGGACTCGTGCAAGGCATTCGACACTGTCCCACATGACATCCTTGTCTCTAAATTGGAGAGACACCACTTTGATGGAGGGACCACTCAGTGGATAAAGAACTGGCTGGATGGCCACACACAAAGAGTTGCAGTAAACTGTTCAATGTCCACGTGGAGACCAGTAACGAGTGGTGTCCCTCAGGGATAGGTGTTGGGACCTGTGTTGTTTAACATCTTTGTCGGTGACATGGACAATGGAATTGAGTGCGCCCTCAGCAAGTTTGCCGATGACACCAAGCTGTGTGGCTCGGTTGATACGCTGGAGGGAAGGGATGCCATCCAGAGGGACCTGGACACACTTGTGAGGTGGGCTGATGCCAACC